TTATGGCCGAGACCGCATGGTAAACGGTGCCAGTCGTCACTACTCAACTTTTGCAGCCTTTTGATGAAAAATGTTCGTCATTCGAACAGTAGTTGGTGTACAGGCTCGTGTTCTCATGAGGTAGACGATTTCAGCAGGATAGGGAGCTTTGTTGACTTTACAGTGAAGGGACCTTATACCTGCACCGTGTGCTTGGTAAGCGGCATCACTGGTCACTGTACCGCTGTTAGTTAACAAAAAGCTGCTGATACGATCAGATTTGAGGATTTCGATATCCCCCAAAGAGTGATTTTTGACCAAAGTGAAAGACCATGCTAAATGCTCTTGGTTGTCGTTGCAGCGCTGAGGGTTGAGCCCTCTGTGTACAGGAACACTATAACGGACGGGGTTTTGTTCTGAAGGAGGATCCCACGATATGATCGAAGGTCAAAGAAGGGGAAAATTGCCTAGTTGGGAGACAGGCGGACCTCCTGAGGGTGCTGACCGACGCGCAATTGGCAGCGAAAGATTTGACCTCGGCGATCTAGCATGGCTCACTCTTGGCGCAGTTGGCGCGGTACGCCCACCGACTGTTTGATTGAGGGCTTGAAGTCAAGGATAGCAATCCATTTATTGCCAAGATTGAAACCACATTTCTCTGGCTTCGTCTTATATACGCAGTTCGAACACAAGGTTTCTCATGATGAAATACTATTTCTTCTGTGATGGAATATTAAGTAGAAGTGCGAAAGCAAACCAAGAAGTGAATGCAATTCTTTCAATGCAAATTCATTAAAGGCACAACCCAGGCAGAGGTCGTGTGAACGCTTCTCTTCGGTCTGTAGTATAGACCCCTAGAGGACAATCACAAATGTGGCGTTCCGTGCACGGAAACCAACCGACAAGAGCGCTTGGGCCTTGCAAAGTAAGCTGCCCAAGCTGCAGATTTTTTCTCTTATCAGGCTGTTGTCTGGCGCCTCTCATCTGTAGCGCTCTCTCGCCCATACTCTCCTCTCCGCGCTTAGTCTCTCATTCCCTTAGCACAGCCGATTAGGAAGGTGAGTGAGCCCTTAACCTGAGCGTTTTCGACGGATTCTTTTCCTTTTTTCTTTACTGCCGGCCCACTTTCGCACCAATACATTCGCATTCGTGTGCAAGAGCCACACCAATGTGATCCTGGGGCATGCCTTTAACGTGTGTATGTCTGTGTAGCATACCGTAATCTGGACGCTATGATTCTGTAGTAGTACAGAAACCGACATAGCAGAGAGTGTTACTGCTTGGAGAGGGCACGATGAGATGAGTCGCATCAATGCGATTTCAATGGCCAAGGAAAGGTCCCATTTCTCGGGTATCGAGCCGTTCTCATGCTTTTTTCTTCTTCCTTGTATCACTGGCCATCCTTAATTTGAAACGGTTTCCCTTTTCAGCGTGAATTCCACTTTTAAATCCGTAACATTTCGTGAATCATGAGAACATTTATTTCCATATTATCACAGAAATTATCATCAATTGCACAAGAATGCTTTTTATAAAACCGGTCACTGCATCTGGATATAGAAAAATCTGTCAAGGCCATCTCTGAAATGTTTGTACCTACGCCTGAGCGTTCCTTTCATCCTTGTCTCTCAGCAAGACCAGTCTTGTACAGCTTTTCAGGCTCGTTCAATACCACACGATCAATGAACTCTTTGCCTTGGATGAAGCAGTGATCCTTAAAAGCGTTCCAATCAAATTAAGTATAGTTAAAGCACAAGCCTATTATTTCGAATGGGCAAGAGTGTGGCTGGTTCAAAAATGAGAACTTTATATTAGTTCTCATGAATGGGCACTCGAAAAAATGCACAAGGAAAGTAATTAGCGAAAGCTTGTTCTGAAGAGAAGCGTACCTGATTCGACACTTCATACTTCCAACCCCCAAAACGTCCTCTCGAGTAGATTGAGTGCTTCTCCAACTCACGATGTGCACGAGCGAGTTCGGGATCTCTCTACAAAAAAGCCCGCAATTATTGAAGTGTTTTCTTCAATTGAGATAGATCGTGAAAAATACGGAGGTATGCCACCCTATACTGCGTAACAAAAGAAGCAACTGCGTATTTGCAATCCCATTACCTTTCCTTTCTCGGCTCAAGGTAGCTATAGCAGTCATCTTTCTAACTCTTACTTAAAGCGAGGGATTACAAGATTGGGTTGTTCTTAGTGGAAGTGAGGATGCTGAATAATGCCCCAGTGGCGAAAGGAAGCAAAGAAATCCGTCAAGAACGCGTGAAATGGGACCTCCTTTCTTTTTGCCCGTTGACCTCCGCTGTGGAGGGCTAGCAATAAACTAGGACGTCGTCTGCACATGTTAAACTATAGCCGCTACCTATTTCAGCCAAAAATCATGCTTTAATTGATGAGGCACTCAATGGGAAAGATTATATGGATACACACTCGAAAATGGAGTGTCCAAATGATAGAACAACGAAGCTGCCAGCTACATACACTAATGGGCGGAGCACCGGCGGCGAAGGCGGAGCTCAGGGAGGATTGGCAGCCCCAAGGCGTTGAACTAGAGCGCGCTTGCACCGACGAAAAGTCCACATCTCGTTTCCTTGGACGCCCTTAGCTACTGCTTCTACTGGTGCATGTACTTCGATGCTTGTACACATAGTTGTCTGTAGTCCGTCGCTTCGGAATAGGTTTGCTCTGGCAATCCTTTCTACACCAGGAAGGTCTTTCAGGGCGTGACGAGCTTTTTGAAAACGGTCTTTTGCATGATATAGGGGCAGATGCGGGGACCACAGAACCATGTTTAATTTTTCCCTGAACGGCCCTCTGAATACCAGAAAAGGGGGTCCCTAGTTCGATTCCTCTTGGTGACAAATTTTTGCATTTCGAGTTGACGTTCCAAAATTCGCGCAAAATGGAGTTCTGATTGTTCTGGTTGGTTCTAACTCCATTTTGCGCGAATTTTGGCACGTCAACTCGAAATGCAAAAATTTGTTACCACGAGGAATCGAACTAGGGACCTCCTTTTCTGGTATTCAGAGGGCCGTTCAGGAAAAATTGAACATGGTTCTGTGGTTCCCGCATCTGCCCCTATATCATGCAAAAGACCGTTTTCAAAAAGCTCGTCACGCCCTGAAAGACCTTCCTGGTAAGCTCGGCAACCTCCGCGCAATGCTGCCTCCCGCCCATCGCTGGCACTATTCAGAGACAGCGCCCAACTCCCAAACTATTTACCCCAACCCACCTCATTGCAAGTCCTCGCTTCCGCAGACGAGGATTTTTTGCCATTGCAAAAATTGCGATTTCTGTGGACGGCAGCTACTGTAGCACTAGACGCCTCCTCACTGGATTATGCTCGATTTTTAGGTATGTACGTGATTTAATGTGGAACAAAAAGAAGAATCCGCAGTACGGAAGAAACCACACAAGCGACGATTACTTCACGAAATGTGGTGGTTTTCTGCCAATGAGATGAGTAGCCAATTGCAAATTGTAATCGAATGTCACTAATTGCAACTGTCATTTACCAACTATCAGCTGTGCTAACCTTCCACTTATCAGATTTTAGTGGAGTTGGCATACCTTGAGATGTTTGCTGCACTGCAGAATTAACAGACTGTCGAACACCAAAGGTGTACTATGTAGCTTGAACGATCACGTTAAGAAGTAAGGCATGATATTTTATCATACTCACCGCTGGGGTTGGAATGGGATACCCATATTCCAAGGTTGTGGAGTAGACCGAGGCGATCTTGTCACGCTGGATCATGCTCTTGATAACCAAACCGTCAATGGCTTGCTTCACGATCTCTTCTTCTGTTACCTGAATTGATTTTGACTTCTCAATAGTTCCAAGAAATTTCATTAAAAAGGAAACAAGTTCTTTATATCACCCAAAATCGGGAAACGGTGTAAATGCTGAACTACTGTAACAAAATTCGAAGGCAACTACTGTATTCATCCTTTCTAGCAATTTTGCAGTTTTCGCATAGCGCGGGCCATCACCGCTCACTTACTGGATCATCGATGGGTCGTGCGCATTCACACATCAGCGACCAGAACTTGCTACCATCCGGTGTCACCTGCAATTACTTCATGAACTCATAAATCAATACATCAAATCACTGACATCCATCACGTGTCAATGCAGCGGTGATTATCTGCGGTTCAGGGAATACGGTAGAAAAATCACTGTGGATGATTGATGTTGCATTGAATAACTCACCTCTCCATATCGACTGAGTATTGTGACACGGAAGAACGGCACATTTGGATC